ATTTGAGACAATATGGGAAGTAGCTTAATTATCACATATTATAGTTATTTATGTAATCACTGCAATATATATCATTAATGAAAAATTTTAAAATTTAAAATTCGACTTGAAGAGCTATTATAAAAAATGCTCTTCAAGTATATCTAATTTTATATCATCAAAGACAATAATATATATATATATATATATATATATATATATATATATATATATATATTTGGGTAATATAAATACTTTAATTTTCTAATATTTTATTTTTGTTTAACTTTAGTATTTTAAATTTTTATTATATTATCCGTTTAAATTTTTTGTTTAAATTTGATTTTAACTTTTTTTTCTTTTCATTTTACTCAGCTAAGTTTTAAATGTCAACCAAATAGGTTATATTTAATTAACTATATTCAATTCCATTAATTGATATTTTTGTCATTTTCTTTTATTATTTACGTCATTGTTATCTTCTTGTTATTTTTTTTTCTTCTTAATTTATGTTTGATTGGTATAGTTAAAAGTTGTTAAGAAAAAAAAAACTTGTTTGATTGACATTTGAAAACTGGAGGGCCAAAATGCAATAGCTCAAGGTTAAGAGATTAATTCAAAATAAATTAATTAGAAGATCAAATTGAAATAAGATATAAAATTAGAGGAATAATTAATTTTATCTAAAATTATTAATAAGTTAAAATATTAATCAGTGATACCTCATATATACGCTTGGTACATGTGTCGTACCATACCACAAACATGCAAATTTGGAGATTTAGGTCGAAACATTTACTATGTCTTTATTCCATGCTCAATAATCATAGCTATTAATGCTCCTATGATGTTGTTTACCAGTCACTTTTCAGCTTTTAGCGCGTAGTTTCATGGGGTTATGTAATATATACACCTTACTTGCACTACTTCTCTATGTATAGAAACCTAATCACGAGCCAGACCAAAACCCATAGAAAATATCCAACACCTAACAAGCCTTCTTTCACTTTTATTTCAAAACATTTACAAAAACATCTTTGACAAAGATGAGAAATTTTACTATTCTGGTGAGGTTGCTGGTGTCATTATTCTAACATAAAGTCACTAATACGAAACCCAACTTATATGGAATGTCACGGCAAGTTGCATTGAACTATTCGAACAGAACTCACAACACAGCACAATCCTTTTTGTTCGATATTGTAACCATTACAGGTAAAAATTATAAGATAAAAAAGAGTAATTTAAATTATATGAACAGACTCAATTGAAGTCTTACATTACATGAAAAGTTGGTTGGTTTTCGTAGGTTTGGTGTTATCCAATATGTTTAACTGTAACTGGCTATATCCTTTTGTTTTAACTTGTGCTTCTTTTTCTTAGTCCCAGAAACTTACAAATCTAACAATTTTGCTTGGATTTACCTTCCTGGGTCTTTTTGCATTTTTTTATGGTCCATTTTTCTCTTTAATTTTTAATTTCTTCTTGGTTTTTTTATTTTCATGTTTTGAGTCATTGGTCTTTTCGTAGATCATCAACACTTAAAGCTGATATCATGTTAAAATTTTATAAATAAGTCCAATCTAAATCCTACATATTATAAAAAGAGTGATTGATTTTCTTTTACTAAAATAATAGACTTAAAATTGTTACTTTGTTCAGCGGCATTAAGTTTTTGATAGATTTTGTGTAATATTCTGTGAATTAAGGTGCTTAGTGTGTATATCTTATACTCTATGTTTATAAACTAGTACAAGAACGTTAAGAATCGTCTTAGATCATAATGATTGAACTAAAATTAATGATGAAACATTTGACACAATTTTTATGCTATATATAGTTCTTGTGGCAAGAAGTGATATTCAAATATGTAGATTCATTCTATTTTTTTGTTTTATTAGTATATATCCACAGCACATAGAGAGAGAGAGAGAGAGAGAGAGAGATGATACCTGTACCATATAGGTGGCATGCATTCTTTCACGGCATTAATCATGTGTATTGGCCCACATGAGGAAGGGTTTAGGTAGTGAAAAGGCGACCACCTTGAATTGTTGTGCATAATGCCAATTAAAGATATAATCGAACCAAGTAGTAGGTTTTGAAATAATTTACTTTTTGTTATATCTATGTTCGTTCATATTAAATTTTAAAACAAATACTTATGATATATTATGATTAAATGCTTATTCATTTTATTTTTACATAAAATTTTATAAAAATAATATATTTGACAAGTACTTTCAGAATAAGTGTTTAAATATATATATATATATATATATATAAAGAGTATTTTAATAAATTATGTATTTAGTATATTTTAAAAAAATATAATAATAACTTGCTAAAATACTTTTATAAAAACCAAAGGTATATATAATAGCAAATTATACGTATATACCTATGAGAAGGAATTCACTTACTTTGCCAACCTTACTATGTTTAATAACTTTTTTATATAAGCATTGAATTTCATTAATTCAATTTTTATTTAAAAGTTCTTAATTAGTAAATCAAAATTTATACAATTTAAAATTTATTTGACACTTAATTAAATAATTTTAATATATTCTTTAAAATATAAAGAAATATCAACAACAACAAGATAATATATTTATAAATGTTTAATTTGTCTAAAATTATATATATATATATATAATTTGATATATTTAATAAAAATTATTAAACTAATGATTAAATTAATTTATTTTATATTTTATAAAAAATTATTAAATATTATAAATATCTAAATTTAAAATTTAATAATAATCAACAGAAATTGATCTTAGTGACAAGCAATTCAGTATTGTTTAAATAAAATTTTAGGTTCAAGTCCTTTATGTAAAAAAAATTTATGATAAACTTACCAATTACATCGCAATCCGAATCAAATCTAAATTAAATTAGATGAAAAACTAAATAAAAATATTAATAATAATATTTTTAATTATAACTCTATGTCTATGTATTAGAAATTTTAGTAACAAACTCTTAATTGTTAAGTAAATTTATTCGATAACTGAAAGTACGTGAAAAAGAGTGTTAAACAGAAAAAAAAAAAAAAAAATTCTTTAGTGCAATCAATACTTAGTGTTGTTCACTAATTAAAATTAATTTTCACTTCAATAATCGACATTAAAGATTGGTATACTAATATTAACGGTCAACTCATGATACTGAAATAAAATTCTAATTCTAATTCTAATTGAAGATTAACGTTGCCCAATTGTAACTGAGAAGGACCTTAAACCCATATAAAATCGATCATAATTGAGGCTAGCAATAATATTAGAGTGCACAGATAAAATTAAAAAAGAATTGAAGAAGCAAGGGATTTGTCTTATCACGTTGTGGACCCACCCTCAATAGAACGCTCATTTTTTAGCGTTTTTAATGGTAACGTTGTTGCTTCTTCTTTCGTTACCTGTCTATAAAAAAGTTTTTAAAAAAATGTGTAGCTTACTTTTTTTAGTTTCTTTTACGATAAAAACTATTGTATAACGTATAATATTTATCTGCAAAAATCAATGGAAGCATGTATGACGATATGCGGCCATTAAACATGGTGAACTAATATTTAAACTCATTATTCTTTAACATTATTGTACTCTTTTATTTTATTTTACACGTTAACAAATTTATTTTATATTCTCATTTTTTTTTATAGACAAAACATATATTATTAAAGAGAGTTTAAGGGGAATTCAAAATCTATATACACAGAAAAAAAAATTATTAACTCAGAGAAATAAAAAGTAAAAATTACTTATACAAAACTAAGATGGATGTAATTTCGTGAATTCAAATACCAATTAGTTAACAAAATAACTTCTCTCTTACTAACAAGTGATAGTCATTTTTAAGATCTCAGAATAATAGAATCTAGAACTTCCCTCTCATCTAAAATACCATTGAAAAATACAATTCTATTTTATATTATTATTTTATAAAATTAGTGAACAATAAATTAGTTTTTATAATTAAACTAAAATAATTTTTAACCAATTAATTTATATATGTATTCTTTTTAGAGTTATAACGTGTTAGAATGTTCTTTATACTCTAAATTTATTCTTTTATATTTAGCAAAAATAAAATAAATAAAACTTATGTATTTATTATTATTAAAATATCTTTATAAAATTAATTTAGTGTATTGAAAATAATGTTCATAGCATTTTATTGAATATACTAAAAATAATAAATTTAAACAAAATATTAATATTATATTTCAATTTTCATATGTTTAGAGAGCTAATTATTTAAATTGAAAAATAATTTCTTTCCCTTCATTATATGCATAATTTCTCATTAATTACTTTCTTAATAACTTTTTATTTAAATTATTTCTTTTACTCTTTCAAACCAGAGTGTAAATATAACATGTGTAACAGAGTAAGTATACATCAAACAATGTTCGCATGAAAATGCGGAAACTATCGTTCTGCCAGACACAGAATTAACATAAATGATTGTGATGGAAAGAAGAGCCCCCAGCCCCCCATTCACAGTTTTGCGCTTCCAAGCACCAACCACCAACCACCAACCACCCAGACAACCTCGGTTATATATATTTATTACTTGTATAAATTTTAAATAACTATATTGTTAATACAATTTTTACAATAAATAAGAATATAAAAAATAATATTTATTTCTTATAATTTTAAAAGAAAAGTTAAATAGTTATTTCCGATTGGTTCTTATAAAAAAAGAATACTGCGATGAATTAAAGTTATAAAAAAGAATTCAGTTATATTTGTGAAGAATTCAAAGATTTGGGTTCCTTCCAAACAACATGCAGTTGGAACACTGCAATCCCATCCTTACATTGATTTTTCAGTTTGCTTTTTCTGTCCGTTGTATATGAATAATAAAAATACATGCGATTCTCGCTTTTTAGCAGCCACAACAGTTGAAAAAAGAAAATATATATATAAAATTTCCTCTGTTGTTTACGAAAATGGTAGAGTATATTTACACAAATAAAAGGGAAAAAAGAAACAAAATTCAGAAATTTGCTAGCAAAACTCCTCAGAAGTGGAATTGAGGAGGTACTGGAGGTCTTCCCCCGAGTCGCGACCGAGTCGAATCGCTTCGAGGACTCGCTCAAAGACGATGACGTGGCATGGGATTCGCAGCACCCCCCTCTGCTCGTACCCGTATTCCTGAGCCGACCGGTTCAATAGTTTCACAAAAACCGGATGGTTCAGCAGCTCCGCGCTCACAACGAACCGCTCCAGCTCTTCTCCCACGTAAACCGGCACGTGCCCCACCGGCACTCCCACGTGCCGGTTTCGGCGCAGAGACTCGGCTCGCCGCGGTCGCCGTGACTCGGATCGGAGGAGCGTATACTGCGCCGAGTCGCTGACTCGGGAAAGCTTCCGAATCAGTTGTTTCATGAATTTTTTAGCCAGATTTAGAGACGGAAATTTGAGCCAAACGAATAATAGTTTTGGTTAAGATGAGAGAATAATAGTAATAGTGTGCCAAGAATGAAAAGCGTGGTGGGTGTGAAGTGAATGACTTGGGGGGTAATATATATATATATATATATATATATATAGAGAGAGAGAGAGAGAGAGGGGTTTGGCGAGGTTGAGTGGAGTAATTGGGTGTGTGATGAAATGGGTTGCGAGTGTATGAATGGTGATGATGATGACCCGTGCGAGGGAAGTTTTAGAGGTACAGGTAAGCGTACTTGGCAGGTACATTAGAGAGAGAAATGGATTAAATTAAATGAGTGTGAAAGTGAAATTATGTTTATATAAAGAGATTTATTTAATCATGTTTATTGTGGCATTTGCTATTTAGTTGAGGTTTTAAAATTGGATGGTGGAATTATTTTTTGTTTATTTGGGACCGGATTTTGATTTGGAAATTGGAATGGTGTTTAAGAATATCTATGTTCAAAGGTTTAGATGAAATTTTTCCTCTTTACCTTATAAGCAAGTTTGAATGTTTCATTATTATAAAATTAGGTAGGAATTTTCTTTTTTATATAAATCAGTTTAAAATGTTAAATTTAATTAATATAAATTTTTTTCTTAAATTTCACCTTAAAATTAATGTGTGATGTGAGAAATTAATTTATAATGTAAAATAAATATGTCCTGAATCATTTTTAAAAAAGTTTTATTCCTGTTACACTATTTTCTCTTATTTTTTTTATATTTTTTTATTAAAGAGTTGTTTGATTTCTTTCCAAAAAACAGTTTTTTTTCAAAATAAAATATAATACAGAATCATTTTAAAAATGAAGAAACTGTTTTTAGAAGAAAATCAAACAAGCTCAAATATCCTATTTTTACTTTCTTTTCTCTTTTCACTTTTTTTTTTCCATTTATTAACGGGTTGTTAAGCAAATAGGCAAAGTCATCTAAAATTTTAGATTAGTGACTAATTTATATATGTAGATATAAATTTGATTGCACTTTGGTATTAAATATTATATTTATTAAATATAGTATTCAATTAACTATGTTAATAACATTAAATGTTATATTCATTAACTAAAAAAAATTATTTAGAATAAGTATTTCATTACTAAAATTTATAAAGAAAATATTTCTAAATAAAAATTAATTATTGTAAAATTAATATCTAAAACTATTCACTAAATTTTTTTTTTTATTATTTAGTATAATTTCAGTTTATAAAGATAACTTTAAATAAAAAATTTCTATCAAATTTTATTTAAATTTTGGGTTTCATTATCATTTTAAATGAGTTATTATGAGTTACTTTAAATGTAAATATATATTAAAATGTTATTATTTTTTATTATGAAAATTATTAAATATTTTAATGAACAAAAATTTCAATGCATATTATAATTATTTTAAAAATGTTTAAACTTTTATAACAATAATTTTTTTTTGTTAAGCAAAATATATATTATTAGATAGAGTTTCAAGGAAAATTCAAAACTCATATACATGGAGAAAAAAATTAATACTTATTCAGAAAAATAAAACTAGAAACATATTTATGTAAAGTTAAGACAGAAGCAATTTCGTGGGTTCAGATACTAATCTGTTAACAAAATAACTTCTCCCTTACTAACAAGTGATAGTCATTTCCAAGACCTCAGAATAATAGAATCTATGACTTCCTTTTCATCTAAAACATCATTAGAAAATACTATTTTATTTCTATATAACCACAACGACCACACTGTATTTACCCATAGAATTAATAAACACATCCCTTCTGTTTTACTGCAACCAACACCAACCCAAGAAAGCAAATGAGTCGATAAATCTGAAGGTAAAACCAGTGAGAATCTAAGCCAACGTGCCGTAAAATACCAGATTTGAGATGAAACTGAGTACGTTAAAAATAAATGAGTTGGAAATTCTTCAAAATTATGACAGAAGCAACAAGTTATATCATCAATTTGAACACCACGATCAATCAGCAAATTTTTACAAGGAAGTGCATTTAACAATAATTGCCAAGAAAATACTAGACACTTAAGCGGGACCTTCCCTTTCCATAACCTTTGCAAAGCGTCTGCCGTACATTGATTTACACTATTAGGACCACCAAAAAGTTCAAATAGCCACGAATACGCAGATTGCACTGAATAACAACTTAAAGAATCTGGCTTCCATACCCATTTATCTTCTTGTTGCACTTTAATAAAAACTCCAGCGACAAACTCTAACAAAAGATTAAAGCTTCCATTTCTATAACATTTGCAAGACGTCTGCCGTACATTGATTTATACTATTAGGACCACCAAAAAGTTTAAATAGCCATGAATACGCAAATTGCACTGAATAACAACCTGAAGAATCCGCCTTCCATATCCATTTATCTTCTTGTTGCACTTTAATAGAAACTCTAGCGACATACTCTAATAAAAGATTAAAGCTTGAAATTTCATGTTACAAGAGTCCTCTTCGCCAACTGACATCCCAAACTCATCTACTGTCATCATGAAAACTATTCTCCAATACACAAGATTCAACATTCATTACCACCGCAAACAATCGCGGAAATGTCTCACATAATCGCACTCCACCTACCCACTTATCTCTCCAAAAACGAGTGTGCAAACCTGCCCCACATTCCTATCCAACTTTTCATCTAATTATGAATTTCCTTGATGAATAACCCTAGCAAATCACGCCACCATAAAGAACATCTGTTGTGGACTAGTGGACGCTGAATAACAGAAGCTCGTCTGCCATATCTAGCTTCCAACACCCACACCCACAATAAACTAGAACAATTAACACCTCGCCACAACCATTTACCAAGAAGCGCCCAGTTAAACTATTGTACATTCTTAATGCCCAACCCACCATCCTTCCGCGGTCTACAAACTGTTTTCCATTCACCCAGGGAATTTTGGATCCATCCTTAACACATTTCCATAAAAAATTTCGCTAGATAGTGACAATCTCCTTTATCACCGACTTCGGTGCCTTAAAAAAGGATAATGAGTATAATGACATAGAACTAAGAACGGCATTAATCAGAGTCACCCTGCCTCCAATCGATAAATATTTATACTTCCATGACGCCAACCTCTTTTTAAGAGCCTCTAATATACCTTTCCATGCACTAAGCTTCCTTGGGTTAATACCTAACTGTAACCCAAGATACTTTCATAGGAAGCTTTAATATTAAAATGTAGGAACTCTGCAGCCAAGTTTTTAAAGTCATCGCCAGTGTTAATCTCTAATATATAGCTTTTATGAAAGTTAATTTTCATACCTGAAATTAACTCAAAGCTACGCAATACTGCTTTCAAAGTCCACAAGTTATGAACCGAAGCCTCTCCCATAATCAATGTGTCATCCACAAACTGTAGCAAAGAAATATCTGGTCCCCCAACCCCAATCTTCACACCAGAGAACAGCCCACATGCTACTACCTTCCGCATAAGGACTCCTAATCCCTTTGCTGCCACAAGAAAAAGAAAAGGGGTAAGAGATCTCCCTGTTGTAGGCCCCACCTAATATGAACCTCCAATGTAGGACAACCATTAATCAAAGCTAACAGGCTACCCCTACACACACAAGCTTCCATCCAACTGACCCATTTTTCTGAAAATCCAAAGCTTCGTAACATAAACAGAAGATACCCCCACTATATCAAATCATAAGCCTTCTCATAATCAAGTTTTAACACAAAACACCTCTTGTTATGCCTCCGCACATAATCTACTGCTTCATTAGCCACAAGTACATCATCTAACATGTTCCTTCCTGGGATAAAGACTGATTGTTGTTATGAAATTATTGAATTCAGAACCCTTTTTAACATATTTGCCAAAAGCTTGGAAACAATCTTATAAAGGCAACTGAGCAACGAGATAGGCTGAAAATCAGTGATTTGTTGTGGACAAGATACTTTTGGCATAAGTGCTACAAAATAGGATAACAAAGACTTAGGTAGTTTTCCATTTCTAAAAAATTCAGCAAATATACTCATCACTTCTCCCTTTATTACTCCACAAAACCTCTAAAAAATTCAGCAAGCATACTCATCACTCTCTGGGCAGCCCAAGGAAGAGTAATATCTCTTTGTCATGCTTCTTCCACCACCTCTACAACTCCCTTGTGAATCAGGCAACAATTGGTAAATCGAACCAGTTAATCACTTTGTGCTTTAGAATAATGGGACAATGATCAGACACATCTCTGCTTAGAACCTGAATAAAACCATCTCCCTAATAATCAATCCAGGAACTAGAAACAAAGACTCTATCCAGCCTGCTCATCATAGAAGCATCCCCGTTATCTGTGTAAATTTCTTACCCACAAGTGAAAGATCCACATGCTCTATTTCCTAAATGAAAGAATTGAAGCCATCCATTTCAGAGATACCATGGTCTTCCTGATAACCCTTCCTCTTATTCACCTGTCACACAGCATTGAAGTCACTCAATATACACCACATAAATTTGCTAAAACCCCTTCTTGTCATGATCAAATCATACCATAACTTTCTTTTCTCACTTAGTCTACATGACGCATAGACATTCACCACAACACATAGGTTTCCAGTAGCCAATACTTACAAGCACACACACAGGAATCCAGTACTAGAAAAGGAGAAAAGTATTTTACCTTTGGATGTATCCCAAAGTGAAAGCATACCTTCGCTTCTGCCAACGGAGGGTAAGGCAATCCAATCAAAATCCATAGAACCCCACAGATGTGCACATAAGTTGCAATTACATGCCTCAAGTTTTGTTTCTTGAATTGCCAAAGACTCCAGACCTTCAGAGCACACAATTTCACACACCTTCTTTCGCTTCACCTCGCTCCCCAACCCTCAACAATTAAATGATTCAATCTTCATTTAGAACCAAAGTGAACCACATGTGTATTCATAATCGTTCTGTCGCGTACCCTATCTCAATTAATTTCTCTCGAACCTGCTC